CTTTAATGCAGTGACATGTAACTCACAAATGGAACAGGAGGGCTCACCTGAAATGGTGCAGGAGGTGCCTCCTAAGCTCAGTTCATATGTTGTCCGTGGTTAAATCACTGAGATCTTTAGGGGATTATGCCTGACCACTGCTGAGGAGGCCCTTCTCTGTGTCACATTACCAAGAATAGCTTATTATGCAGAGATATGAGGAAGGGCTTTTTCTGAAGTAGCCCCTGAATTGCGGAATGCCCTCCCCTTGGAGGCTCAATCGGCACAGACTTTGGCATCATTTCAGTGCCAAATCAAGACATATTTATGAGAGCCTTTGGGAGCTGCAGATCATGGCCTGCATAGGTTTTAATGTTTTTAATGTTTGAATTATACTGTGCTGTTTGATTTTAAATTGTTTAAAACATATTATTACATAGTATTATATAGCTTTGTAACCCACTCTGAGATTCTGGATGCAATCTGATCAGGTACTGAATTTAAAGCAGAGCATGATGGGGTGGGGGTGGAGAGAGAGAGAGAAAGACAGACAAAAAATATAGCCCGCCAGAGTAGCATTCTGTGTTTTTCCAATAATTTAACATTTTCCCCAGAATCCCCAACCACTGGAACATTTTCAGAGGAATGGCAAGGCAAGCATGTCATAAGGCAGTCATTGAATTGTGCCTCTCCATATATCAAGGATAAAGTTTGTGGGATACAATGTAAGGGAAATGGACATAAATCCTAGTACTCCTGTCTGGGCAGACTAGTGTGTCACAACCTGCTAGATATCCACCAAATATACCACCTTTCTTGATCTGAAACAAACAATCCAAATTTGTGTAAGAGACGTATTTTACCAAGGCTAGCAATGATGCCACCAAAAGAAACACAAATTGTTGTACATTTTCTATTAGGAAAATTGCTTCATTTAAATTTATCATCTTTATAGAAGCCATCATTGCAGTGTTTGAGGAAATACAGAATAACATTTGATCTCAATTAAATTATCTCTCTTCCATTTTTGGCAAGATGACTCATTGGATAAAAACGTCATTTCTATCCAGTTGCTCTTTTAATCATGTCTAACTTACAATATATTTGGAGCCTGGCATGGCTAATCCATCCATTTTACTGAGCGGAGCAATTTGGTCTATCAAGAGAACACTTACCCATTAAAAATGTTTGTGACAGTGAAGAATAATATTCTTATCAAATAGAGGGCAATACAGAAGTCAACATATACTGAATGGTGACTTATCCTGCTTGTTTGTAAGCATTTCCTATACCTCTTAACTGTGTTTATTAAACTCCTCATTAAAAATCTGGAGAAAAATAGAAGTGAGACCATTCTTTTCATGGTTCTAGAGTATTTTACAGTGCTCCAAATATGACCAGTTAGCTATAGTGTATGAAAGCTGAGGAAGATAAGGCAACATTGAATAAGGATGCAAAGTTCTAGTGTTGGTGAGAAATATATTTTCCACAAAAATGCCAATTTTACCCAAGATCATACAATTTGCACAATTCATGATATTGCTCCATTTGTCCAAAGCTAGATTACCTGCAACTCGGTTTCAGAATGTGATCCACTAAATACGTTTCATATCTTAAAAGCCAGTTAGAAGGATACTAGTGGCATTTTGCACTAACTACAAAGCCTGTGAAAATGATAAGAAACAGCTCTCAACTGGTGAAGAATCATAGGGTGCATTAAAATTTCTTGCTGAGGTTTCATATTTTTTTTCCCCAAGGTAGCCTAAGAACCATTAGAATGAGGAATGTAGTGAATGGATTTGAAACAGCAAATAGTAGACACAGGGCTGTAGGAGCCTCTAACATTTTAGCTTTCATTCATACTGGGGGGAAAGTTCTCATTTGCACCCATGGAAGCATTTCTTCCCGTGCATTTTGCAGGTGCTAGAGCCTTGTATCAGGACCCACCACATACACTAAATTTTGCAAAAATCTGGATTGGTTTTGCTCTGAATATCCCTCTGGAATTCATTTGTATTGTATTGTTTGTCTGCATATCTGCTTCTGCTTCATAGTTATTTCTGCTTCATAGTTAATTATGCTGAAACATTAACCATGGGCCTTAATCAAATATTCTCCAATAAGCTGCATACTATTCAAGGAGAGCATTTTATAGATGAAAGAAAGGGCAAAACTTCCTTGCCTTTTCCTACGGGCGAGCGTTGGCTTCAAGACAAGCCCTAAAGATTTTTCAGTCTAAAATGAAGGAGAAATTCAATTCCATTCCATGTACAAAAAACAACTAGATTGACAGTTGACTTTTCCGTCAACATCGACTACAGAAATAGCAACTTCTTTGGCACCTCAGGGTAGCAGGCTAGGTCGGTGAAGAGTGTGTAGTACATGGCGTTCTGCTCTCCAACAACGCCATCCTACTTCTCAACTCTAGTGTCTGCCATATGACTTGCCCCTCTCCTGCCTAATGCTAAAGCTAGTCCTGGCACTGGCTTTTCTGAACTGGTGCCTCAGCTCTTTCTCCTGGGTCTTCTCAACAGGTGGTAGCAATCATTTTTAGCCCTCATTATGCCAACATGAAACACACTGGTGAATGTTAACTCCATCCTCAACATTTTAGAAACAGCCCCTTTTTTATGATCAGTGAAGGGGACTGCAAAATGGCATCTATTGAATATCCTAACACTGTTTGTTTGTTTGTTTGTTTGTTTGTTTGTTTGTTTGTTTTGTGTACCACCCCGTTAATGTAATGCACTGTTCTGGGTGGTTTACCGTATTCTAGATTGCAGTTCACATTAACAGAATGTGATCCTTCCTGCAAGTTCATGGTGTTTCATAACAAGTTTAATAGCAAGTATGCAGTATCAACCTCACTTTTGAAAAGGAACATGGGCAGTTTTAAAATTTTATACAGCTTCTTCAACCATTATGATGTACTAACTTTCTTTTCCTTTCATTTGCAATGTCACTTTCAACCAGGAGGGAGAACTATAAGGAAGAGAATACATTAAGAGCTACTTGCTTGATGTTGCCAGCAGAGATTGCAAACTGCTAACTTCTTGTGTCAGAGCCTATTGATATCAATGATAAGCCATTCATTATGCTTCAATGGGGGTTGAGTCAGGTTTTGTTCAGATTTGTAGAACTTTCCTGGAATTCATGGATGTTTATTTTAACTACCCTACAAGCCTATATCTGTATGATTAAATGTTTTTCTTATCCAAAAGTACAATTTCTCCATGGTTATACCTTAGTTCTAATCATTGAAACACCTTCCTGCTCCTGCACAAATGCAAAGCTAGTTACTGACAAGGTAACTGGTTGGAGTAGTCAGCTGATCCATCACCTGCCTCATGCGAGCAAGGTGACTTTGATGATTATCATACAAGGTGTGTCAAGTCAAGGGATAGGGGGTTGGACTTCTTTGAACTACAGCCACACTCAGCATGGACCCTAGTCATGGGTCTATAGCTTACATGCATCTAATTGTTGTTGTTGTTTAGTCGGTAAGTCATGTCCAACTCTTTGTGACCCCATGGACCACAGCATGCCAGGACCTCCTTCATCCACTGCCTCCTGGGATTTGGTGAAATTCATGTTGGTTGCTTCAATGACACTGTCCAACCATCTCGTCCTCTGTCAAGATGTAAATGCAAGTAGATAAATAGGTACCACCTCGGTGGGAAGGTAAACAGCGTTCCGTGTATAGCCACGCTGGCCACGTGACAACGGAAACTGTCTTCAGACAAACGCTGGCTCTACAGCTTGGAAACGGGGATGAGCACCCCCCCCTAGAGTCAAACACAACTGACTAAAATGTCAAGGTAACCTTTACCTTTATACCAAATGCTCAGTAAAAGAATATGCCCCAGGAATGTTTTATGTCATACTTTCCTGAGGCTTTTTTTCCACATGTGAAGTAGATACAGTAATTCTACAACTTCATAGTTTCCCTGCCTTATGTCCAGTTATTAGGCAGGATAAATGGATTGGTTATTCCCTCTCTGAATTCATGCTTATCTCGTCAGGTTTATATTAATTCATCAGATTTCATAGTTATTAATGCAAATTCAGACCACCTATCTATGCTTAAAATTCTTCAGAGATGTGTGTTACTTAGCGAGGCATCTTCTAATCAGCCAAAGTCAATTGATTTTTACCTCTAGGTCTATGAAAACCACAGTATTAAGAGGAAGCTAGGAATGTTGCTTTCTTTCAAGAGGTCTTAAAAGTAGTAAACGCTGATGACAAATCTATGGGACCCAACAAGAAGTATCAGAAGATCAGCTCTAGAAGCATTGTTATAATCCAGATGGTCAATGGTCAGTTCAAAAATTATAACCAGCACATGATAGACAATGGATTGGACCTAGTTTTAGTAATACTTAGAGAAGAGACTCTTCTACATGTTTGTCTGGATCCAACTTATTATGTTCAAAAGCCCTTTACCTATTTATTGCCTGCTGATTTCATTCCACTATTATATGGTTGTGCCAAGGAGTAAATGCTTTCACCAGGCACCAGGAATATCATCATTGTGCCTTTTTGTGGCTTCCATCAAAGAACCATGGCAATCCTACAACTCCAATAACATTTTAGAAAGCAAAGTGTAAGAAGCAGTCCTGTCTGAAACAGGTAGGTCTCGAGATAATTGACAGCAGAATTTGCCTTTCTAGATACAATTGGTCTTTACGTTACATAATATGTAGGGACAAAAATGAGTCTAATCATTTTTTGGAAGTTGGTTCCATCAGGCCAGAGACTGTTAGAAAATATTATAATTTAGGATTGCTTTATACATGCATTTGTATCAGTTGAATCTTTATCTCAACAGATGGTGATGGCAAAAGGTGTGAGAGAAGTTCTCAATTTCCAGTGTTTAGTAGCAGATCTGTGATGGTGCATCGACAAATGAAGGTCACCACTTGGTGATGAACATGCCCATCTGAACCCGCTCCAAGACTCAGACCTGTCACAGACGGTAACACCCACATGCTATGCCAACATATAAATGTCTCCCAATTTACCTGATCTCGGGAATATGGACTATCTACTTTCTGTTTGTTGCAACAAGCTGATATAAGAATGTTGACTGCATCCAACTGGAGCAACATCTCGCAGGCCATTGTATCAAAAAACGTAATGTTGGCAAGCGCAGCTGAAGCCAGTAGAAAAACCTCTCCAGAGGTGGCCTCTTGGCACAATTCTAGATGGACAGAAAACAATTCCATTAAAATCTTAATTTAAAACTACTTGGTCATTTAAAGACAAGCTTAGGTTGCTTTACTTTATTCAAAAAAAATCATAAAACAGTTCCAAGAATAGCTTACGAATTGGGGGTTGTGGGGGAAAGGAGAGTGTCAATTTTACAAGTCTAAAAATATGACATAACAGGGAAGGAAGAGGAAAAAAGCAAATTCAGATTTGTGCCACAATGAACCTGAAATCATACATATACTGTATGGATGGATTATTCCACCTTTTCAGTTCAGTTGATGTGTTTAGTAATGGAGTGGTGTTATGCTGCATTGTTATACCAATATCCAGGAAAAAAAATTGCATATAATTGCAATGAAAGCTTAAATATACTTTGGAGCACTCATTTACATAGGACTTGTCCCTAGGTGTTTAGTAATGGAGTGGTGTTATGCTGCTGAAATATCTTGCATTGTTATACCAATATCCAGGAAAAATTTTTGGAGCACTAATTTACATAGGACTTGTCCCTAAATTACAGATCCAGTTAAGTGATTATTTAGAGTCATGAGAACTCTGATGAAGACATGGAATTACCAGTACCTTTAAGTGCCATAGACATGGTACATTTCATCTCCCCTACCTTCACAACATTGTCCCAGCTCCTGCCAACCTAGCTGTTCGAAAGCATGCAAATGCGAGTAGATAAATAGGTACCACCTCAGTGGTAAACACCTCCATGTTTAGTCGCTCTGGACACGTGACCACGGAAACTGTCTTAGGACAAATGCTGGCTCTCTGGCCTGGAAACATGGCTCTACGGCCTGGAAACAGGGATGAGCACCATGCCCTAGAGCTGGACACAACTGGACTAAATGTCAAGGGGAACCTTTACCTTATAACAAAGTATGGGACATTGCGTTAAATGACAAATTGACTACAGTACTGAACTAAAGATGAAAAGAGGGGAAATAAGTTTGAATATTTTTATGCTCTTTGGGGTAGATTTATTGAATTTCTATTAGTGAAAGGAAAGGAAAAGCCTCTAAGCAACAATCAATACAATTTTGGAAAAGAGGTTCATAATAAAAGAATTACTCCAAAGGGTCCCATGGGTATGTGGGTGCACTGGGTTTTAGATTGTCAGTCAGTATATTTGTATTGTTTTGTATTGATGTATTTGTTTTGGAAAATAATTTAAAAAAATTAAAAAAAAGAAAGTTTGTATTTCAACAGTCTCCTGCAGATTTCCTTTTGTTTAGCATGCACATCACTAACAATTGCAATACCCACTCATTTTAAGACACTGTATTCTATTTTCATTTTCTGAATTGCATATTAATATTTACTACAGAAATCAGAATTTGTATCCAAAGGAAGATAAATCAAGTCCAAAACTCGCTGTGAAGTCAGCAGTTTGCAATCTCTGCTGGCAACTACAGTACTTCAATAGTGGCTTGAACTAGCATGTCACAGCAGTTTGCAATCTCTGCTGGCAACTACTTCAATAGTGGCTTGCACTAGCATATCACTGGATGTTGTTCAAGATGATGTTCTATTATTCGATAAAATGAGATGCTATGGGCAGGCTGGTAAAGCTTATTTATTTCTGATAGTGTAATTCCTTAGTGTGTCTTGTTATCACTTGCTACAAATATTTCTTTATGATATGAGTCAATCATGCATAAAGGCACTCTTAAAATGGCTGTAGACACAGTGATTATTATCATAATCTTCTGTCTTTTAATTCTTGTATGCACTTATTTTAACCAAGGTCTGACTCAGCTTGCAATTTGATTTTCCTATGATTTAGAGATTAGATATATGAGGAAAAAGTAATTCAATTATTCAGCTCTAAGTCTTATGGAGAAAGGAGTTACTGATTGGTAGGAAAAGCTCTCCAGTGACCATAGTTGCTGTCTTCTTTTTCTGTACAGTATCCATCTAGGCATAGACACAGCTGGTCTTGCCTAAACTAGCTGAAATTTTCATGGTCACACCAGATTTTGTTTTGTATTTTTAAAATCCTTTACAGGGTAGATATGTGCATGCAGAGCCATACCTATTTCTTGAATATAATTTGGTACTCCAACATGGCCACAATTGTTGACTTTAAACCAGTGGTTCCCAACCTTAAGTAACCCAGGTGTTCTTGGACTGCCGCTCCTGGAAGCCTTCACCACTAGCTGTGCTGGTCAGTGTTTCTGAAAGTTGCAGTTCAAGAATAACTGGGTTAGCCAAGTTAGGAAACCACTGCTTCAAACTGATAGCCAGCTGCAATCCCTAATCTGAAGGGGAAAAACAGATTAAAATATGGGATAGAACCAATTGTGCAGGGTGGCTTTTGGTCCCATAGATTAGTCCACTGACAGAAGAGACAGGAACATAAGAAGTTCCTTTATAGGTCCATCTTGCCCTCTACTGAAAAGACCTTGCCTGGCACTGGCTCTCCACAGTTTCAGCTAGGGGTTTGTCCAGTCTTATCCAGAGATGCTCGGAATAGAAGCTTGGATCTTCTGCGTGTGAAGCATGTCCTGTGTCCCTGAGCTATGGAAATGTTCACCTATTCATCTTTTCTCAGCAGCTCCTTCCACACTGTTCTGGAGGGTATCCTGACCCACTGAAACAAAATTTCAGGGCGCATAGCAGGATGGGGGGAAACAAAAAATTTACCCCTCCTTGTCTCTTAGCAAAGTAGTGTATTGGATCCACAGTAGTTTTGGCATCAGAATGGCACCAAAAATATGCACTGGATGCAAAGATGTTATAATAGCAGAATGGCACCCAAGTAGAATATTGCTATTGCGTTGTCTAAAAATATGGCAAAAAAACAAAAACAAAAAATTCTTGGACAACAAAGCCGCCTAGAGTGGTCCTAATCCGACCAGATAGGCGGGATATAAATAAAATAAATAAATAAATAAATAAATTACATGAATTATAGAGGGCAATCTTTTGCCTTGCATGTTTCAACTTAAACACTAAGGTCCGATATTACAGAGCGCTAATATGAGGAGTGCCTGAAGTCCTATAATTTTCTGATTTAACTAATACCTCAATAAACAAATTTAGGTATTATCAACAGAAAATGAAATTAATGAGATTTCCACTATAATCCTTTGAATGGTTTTCTGGGAATAAGATCCACTGAATTCACAAGACTTATTTTTCAGTAGACACATATTAGATTTGATTGGCAGGCTGCAATCTTATGCACACTTACCTGGGAAGAAAGGCCAGTGATGTCACTGGGGCTTATGTCTCAACTGATACAGTCATGTGAAAAAGAAAGTACACCTGCTTTGGGCTCTATGCTTTCACATATCAGGACATAAGAAAAAATATCTCACCCTTAGCAGGTCTGAGAATTAGGTAAATACAACCAAATTTACCTAATTTTCAGACCTGCTAAGGACCAGATGATTTTTATCATGTCCTGATTCATAAAACCATAGAATTCAAAGAGGCTGTACTTACTTTTTCACATGACTGTATGCACAGGGCTGCACCCATAAGAGGTTAAAATACCCACTGGAGAAGTACTACTGATTTACATTAATGAGTCTAACCATGTTACAGTATATCTCGTAGAGCTTACAATATCCATGTGTTATTTAGTCATTACATTTTAAGGCTTGGCAGAAGCCACTGTAGTCACTGAGATCAATACTACTACCCTGTCCACATCTACCCAGAAAATACATCCTAATAGCCTGTAACATTTTGCTGGTAACAACTAAAAATAGGTCCATTGACTCACCTACAGAAAAGTAACTCAACATTTATGCACATCCCATTGAGTCAATGGGTCCATTAGCAATAGGCCACTGGTGTCAGTATTTACTTCCAAATAAGTGAATATAGGGCTGCAGCTGGACTGTTACGCAATACTCAAATAAGGCACAAATGCCCACATAAACAAAATGATGAAACATAGAGGCCAAAATTTTGTCGCTGATCTATGCTTGTACTGTACAGAGGAAATTGCATACGTCTTGGTGACAAATTGCCACTTATGAACAAAGTGCTGGTTTTATTCTTGGGGTGTGTATGTGACACATGACTGGGTACACAACCAGGAACACAACTACCACATTGTTGATGATGACTGTTGTGATTTCTCTTATTTGCAATAGGATTCTTGGCATAGTAACCTAAGCCCTGTTCAGGTGTTCTTGAACCCTGTGTTCTCTACATACAATGAGAGCACGCTACCCCTAATCCTGCCCCTTTTTACAATAAGGAGAGTATTCAGCCCTGCCCTGATCCATGTGGGCTCTTCCATGAACCAGAATACACACACAAATGGGATTCCAACTCACATGAAGCCTCTATACAGATACAGTCACCTTCCTCTTATCAGACTGTTACTTTCACATCTTGAAAACAGTGGCAGAAGAGGCAGGGCTACAGGACACCATCACCACTGATCGGTTACCAATGTGACTCTTCACAAAGGAACCGAACAACAACATGTCTCTGTCGCAAAGAGCTTATAATATGAATCAGTATAACCAGTATAAATGTGCTGCAGCTATCTGAAGATTAATCATATTTTTCACAGACTTTCAAAAGATGGTTACCCTTCACATTAAGCAGGGTGTTATTGGGTAAACTAATTCAAATGGCATAAATGAGATTGCATTAAATTGCATTGCATCACCACATCATCCTTATCTGCCATCACCTCCTGTATTCAGCCCTTTGTGTAGAAGAACTTGGCTGTGAAGCTGATTCAAGAGCCAGCACTATTTCAGGATAACAGGGAGAAAGAATGCAGGAAAGCCAACTTGTATTTTCCTACCCCACATGCCAGGAAGAACTGGAAGGAGGAAGGGGGGAAATTTGAATCCTAGATGAAACAAAGAATCAAACTTTTATGTATATTTTCTATGGTTTAATGCCCTAAGTCCCAATGTCTTTGTTACAAAACCACTGGATGAAATCCTGATCATCAGGATCAAACTTGGCATCCTCAAAGCTTGCAGTGCTTTCTCACAGAAATCAGTCTGACTTCTTGAGCTGTGACAAAATACACACTTTTTTTTACAGAAGCAAATTTCCTTCTTGTTCCTTCCTCTTGTTAAGCATTCACTGCCCTTTTGCCCAGAATGACATGAAGCATTCAACTGTACATACTGAGAAGTGCTGTGACAATTTCCTCCATGTTCTCAAGGAAACTGCCAAGATGCTGAGTGAAGGGGAGCTGAGGAGACATGATTTGAGCAATCACTGCTGCAGCTTCTGCGTGGGTAGCTTGCGGGTGCGTATTATCTGTAAGGATGTCAGCTAAGCATAATATTCCATCAACCTAAGAGAGAAAGAAAACAAAAACATTCATTTCATGCTCCTTCATGAAAAGCTCTCTTTTTCCCCTTCCACTGCAAACCATCAATGATTTCCCATATTTATTTGTATTTCTTTCATACTTTTCTGATGAATCCTTAGGATAATGACCTCTCATGGAGGCTTGCAAAGCACAGAGGAATGTAATATCTCCTTCCCAGGATAGTCCAAATATTATAAAAAGTTGAACAATAATTATCAAAAAGCCAACAGCCTAAATGCCACAAGCAAAATTGTTTCAGCTGAAGGTGATTTGCCAAAAGTTTTCAAAAATCATTTTTGAAGGTTGGAACTGATGGTGCCAGCCATACACCAGTCAGTAAGGATCAATCATACACCCACTAATTCCACACAAGAGGTCAAGAGACCTCGCATCTAGTCTAAATGGCCCCAACAATGGGCCAACAAGCAACACCTCTAGTATTGATATTAGGTCTTGGGCTAACCATAGGAAGCCTCATGGCACAGTGGTTAAACTGCTGTAGTGCAGCCAAAACTGTGCTCATGACCCGGGGTTCAATTCCAGGTAGCCGGCTGAAGGTTGACTCAGCCTTCTATCCTTCTGAGATTGGTATAATGAGTACCGAGCTCGCTTGGGGGGGGGGGCAATGGGTAGCCTGCATAATTAACCTGTATACTGCCCAGAGAGGGTTTTAAGCACTATGAAGTGATACCCAGCTTGTGGGGGGTGGGGAATGTGTAGCCTGCATAATTGTAAACTGTCCAGAAAGTGCTTCAAGTGATATGGGGCAATATATAATCATCATGCTTTACTTTTTTTGCTTTGGGAAATTAACCACATATGAGTTCAGGCAGTCTAATAACTTGGGCTTAAATCGCATGTGACTTTAAGAGGCAAAGCTGGTTATTTGAATTGGGTTGCAAATCTGTAAAGACAACAGCAACCAGAACAAGTAGTACAGTTATAAGTTCCAATTATCTAGTCCCATAAAGTACCCAAGCTACCACATTCTGTTGCAGGTTATGGAGAAACCTTAAGGAGGTTAGTGTTACAAAAAGTCAAAGCTTAACACATTAAAAATAATGTACTGTTTTATTCTAATTATGAAGGTATGTGCACTGTTTTCAGACAAATGTACAAGAACAGACCATGTGAGAGATATCTGAGTGATTCTAAGGTGACTACTGGAATATTCAGTGTGTTGTAGTGGATAGAGTGATAGATTAGGACTCTGAATACCAAGGTTCAAATCTCTGTCCAGCCAAGTAAGCTCACTGGAGGAAGAGGAACTGGTTAAACGAATCCTTAAATATCTCACTTTTCTTGAAACCCCTATTAGGGCTGCTATAAGTCAGTTTCGACTTGATGATACATAACAACAACAGAGTGGAACAAAGAACTGCTGGTTACCTACAAAGTGGGGGGAGAAACCCACACCTTTACATACAAATCTTTCATTTACCACGCCGTACTTGTGAACTTAAAAATATAGCTAGGAAACATGTTCTGGGCCTTGCAGCCACTCTACCATTCATTTCATGGGGATGTAGAGTGAAGTAAATGTATTGCATTGCACTGCTAGCTGGGATACATATTCCAGAATATTTTGTTTCTTTTTTCCCCTTTATCTAGATAAGTTTACTAAACACTTTACTGATGGGCCTGAGAGTATGTGTGACTGTGAATGAATGCCTGCATCCCTCTGATATTAACTCTGATTATTTACTTCAGAATCAGTGTGCTAGGATCTGTCCTTCCTCTCTCCTAAGATAAGCCATTTTCTTGCTTCTGGCAGTGCAAATCTCACTGTTTGCATAGTAGCGAGACAGTTGCCTCTTCAGTCTATCATATTCCTGTAACTGATGGTACTGTATATCCCCCACCTCATCCTGCACTTTCTCCATTTGTAGGAAGGAGATTTTTCATGGGGATCTAGAATTGTAGAAATAACATCAGGAATCCACACCAAAAACAGAAGTGTTGAGAAGTTGACTTCAGTTTTTGAAACTTTGGTAAATTTCGGCATTAAATACATTAATGCAAAAACCCACTTGGGGGCGCAAATTAACCACCACACCTCTTGAGAAAATGGTGGAGCATGAAAGGCCTGTTTCCTACTGACTCTCAACAGAATGTTTGCCCCCACCCACCCATCCTTGGCCTTTACTCCTGCAGGAGCCTCCCCTTCTATAACAGTAATAATAGTCATGTCATGCAAGCTTTAAAAACTGCTTAGATTGGGAAAGGAACCCTGTGGGGCAAAACTTCAATGGAGGATTGAGGGGCTCAGCAGGATGTGGGATTCCATCACCTACCTCTGGTTTTCCTTCTGGATGGTTTTTATCCCACACTCAGGCTAGTAGAGTAAAGCCACACTCTGAGCTCAGGAAAGATTGCAAGGGTGAAGCTAGCAATTCTTCTGTAGTTTGGATTTTCATATGAATTGGTAATGAATTGATGGGAATCTCGTACGCAATATATAAAGTTTCTTCCCAAGCCTAGCTCAAGGGAATTTCACAGGTATTTCAATTGCTATCACTTCTTCTCCCAACTTTTGCCATGAAGTTTCAGTATGCAACAAGCTGTCCGTCACACAGCCTTCCATGCTTATGTTCCAAGTGCCTCCAGTCCTTGTCAATATTTAATGTTGCGCCATTCATTTCTCAAATTGTTTGTTTAAAGCTTTTGTTGCTCTCATTTCAGCTATTTATTAATAGACAATGCCACGTTATCTTAATTAAATGTCCCTAGATGGGCATAAATTAAAGCATTTGGGTTTCTGCTATCAATAAGACAATTTTATGAGAAAAATGCTATCAGTGTTATCTTAAGATGGTTTTGGTTACAGAAAGGATAAATTTGTCACTGGGGCATTTATTTTATAGAAAACAAATAAAGTTTGGCATGTGAAACTGTGTTAGAAGTAAAAACAAAAGAACTAATGTTTCCAGTGTTCAGTTTTGACCAAGATTTCAGCAACACTATACTTCCTGGGATAAATACTTATCTAGTCCTGGTGACACTCAAGGTCAAAGCTGGCCATTTGTATGTTGTAGTGCATCCTCACAGACTGATTTGCTTCTCATTAAAAATGTGTGCTTAACATGATGACAATGAAAATACTTAATTTTGTCACCTTGGAAGCAAGTAACATCAGAACTACCTCAAGATATGGCATACGTGCTCAAGGCTAAGTCAACTGTTCAACTAGCCCAAACTCTTCTGGTTGAATAGGTTGTGTTATGGGCTTTTGATGTTCACTCAGGCTACAAAATGCTGCGAAATATGAGATGTGAAGAGTGAAACTACTTAAACAATGTTGATATAGTATGGACCCAAATGCACTGTTAGTTTCTTCCTTATCATTTGCTGCTGGCCAAGGACAAAGTGCTGGATATAAGGAAGGCCCTGGTTATATGAGAGAAATGTTTTCTAGTTCTTCTGATACTTTCCATACTTCTGTTCTACTGAATCATGGCCACAGGATGAATGTCCCAAGAAGTTTGAGCAGTACCAATTTATTTTCTCCTATTTGAATCATTATGACCAGCTACGCGATGGTGCCAGTTTATTTTCTCTCTTGCTTCAAGGGGCAATTTAGCCCCTTGATTTCTCTCTATATATATTTAAAAATAATATTTATCAATACATCAGAAACAAATTCTCCTCTAAGAAGTGTGATTGTACAAGCACACTTCACTCGGCTCTCCTCCACACAGCTTTCCTCCTCCCCCATGCACCCACAGCTACTGTTTCCAGCCTCTTTCATTCCTGCCACAACAGAACCCTCGCTAGGGAGTGGTGGGGATTTGCACTCAGTGAGTGCAAATTAGAGGGAACATTGATTGGGAAGTGGTTTCTGTTTAGGAAAGTATCTCTCTGTTGCATTGGCTGCTCCTGCAGAAATGCACTGCACACAATGGACTTGGGATATCTGCATGGCAATACTGGCGATCACCCCCCCCCATGTCATTGGCATACCAATGTTTCAATATATCTTCCCATAGGAAGAAGAAATTATTACTCACCAGTAATGTAATGGCTGAGGCCTCCCAGGTGACATATTTTACCAATGTATTGATGCATCAGGGATGAAAAAAATAATGTGCACACTGCAGTAATGGCGGCCACTTTCCTGGCTTTGCTTCTGAAAGAAGCGGGGCAGGTTGTGCACACAGGCAATCCCAGTGAGGGATGCACCAGTACAGCAAAGGTACAAAATAACACAACCCTCCTGGCAATTGGGAAATATTCCACAGTTACACCGTTGGTCGGGCAAATGTCTCAATCTTGACTGTGTGTGACCAGAAAAACAACAACAACATCGGGAAAATGTCTCAATCTTGACTGTGTGCGACCAGAAAAACAACAACGTACTAACTGGGGGATAACTAGAGGACATTTTCCTCATGTGACCAGGGCTTATGTCTGAGATGTGTCTGTTCACAGCATAGACATACAAAATAATAAATAATAACTAATTAAACAACTGAAACTACAATCCCATGTATAGGCAGTAGGAAAGGTTAAAATGGCAACAGACAAATTTCTCTAGATACACTTATATGGACTTTGATGGTGAAAGTAAGAACAGATAATGAATATAGTAGTGCACCAGGAAAGGGAGTAAGAGTTTATGACCTGTCCAATTGTATGCAACCCAAAGAGAGGGTAAAGCAGTGGATCACCATACATAGCTAGTATGGATTGATAAATTAATATTTTCATGATCATTGACATCTCTGCACATGTTTACTCATAAGAACTTTTTTGCATTATCTCTATTTAAAAAAAGAAAAACATAAACATTCACATTTAAACGATATACAAACATGTATTTTCTTTTTTTTTAAAAAAAAAAAGACCAATAGCAATGGAAAGAAATGAGATCAGATAGTTCCTTAGATAGAAACATTACAAAACCTTCATGGATGAATAGTTAAAAGAGTTCAAAAGCTGCCAAGAAGCAAATTAATCTCAGTACAAATGGGATTATCCTGAAT